CACACGTCTTCAGATCTTGGGACTGAGGGCAGGAGGGGCGATGAGCAAGGGGGCTCCAGACCCTGTGGCCCTTGTGCCCCAAGATGGCTGGAAGCCCCTCGCCCAGCGAACACGCTCAGGACCCTGATGCATCCCCGTTTCCCTGCGGGGGGTCCAAGTGCCGAGCCTGGGCTGGGTGCAGCACTTGGCATTCCCACCCTGCACTTCCTTGGGCCTTGGCTCTGCTACCGTGGCGTGAGTGGGTCCTTTGCCTCACACATCGGGGCTGTCAGTTCGATCCACACGCACATTTCTTGGCTCACTGCTGCTTCTCATCCTTGGCGACCACGTTGACTCCTGGGGGACAGGACAGCATCTTCTTCCCCATTCAGGACCCGCAGCGCACGGAGACGTGCCTGTGACTTGGTGGGTCTCCCCGGTGTTCGTGAGATGAACGAGGGTGGGAGGGAGGGAGGAATGAGTGAGCGTTGCCATGACGGCCATGCCCCGCGGCGGGGGCCACGCTTCCTGGCTCTGGGAAGCACTCTGAGGATGGAGTGCCGTGTGGCAGAGGGTGCATCCTGGAAGAGAGAGTGACCAGGTGGGACATTGTCCCCTTGTCCCCCGGTGTCCGAGTCTCTGTCTTCACATGGCATCCCAGGAAGCCAGAACTAAAAGCTACACTGGTTAAAAAGTTTTTGTTATGGACTCTCCACACTTCAGCACCCCAAAGACATAGTGCTGAAGATGGCCTGGAAGTCAGAAAATCATTGTCATCACTATCACCATAACTATCATCACCATCACATCACCATCACCACCACCACCACCACCACCACCACCACCACCATCACCATCACCACCACCACCACCACCATCACATCACCACCACCATCACCATCACCACCACCACCACCACCATCACCATCACCATCACCATCACATCACCATCACCATCACCATCACCACCACCACCACCACCATCACCACCACTACCATCACCATCACCATCACATCACCACCATCACCATCACCATCATCACCACCACCATCACCATCACCACCACCACCATCACCACCACCACCATCACCATCACCATCACCACCACCACCATCACCATCACCACCATCACATCACCATCACCATCACCACCACCACCATCACCATCACCACCACCACCATCACCATCACCATCACCACCATCACCATCACCATCATTATGACCATCGTCATCACCATCACCATCACTATCATCATCATCATGCCCATCATCACCTTCCTCCTCATCACCACCACAGCTGTAACAGTAGAGCAGCACCACCATAAGAGACGCAGAGCACCTTGACTAGAAACACAGCTGTTATTTCATTTGCGATGTCATTCGGGAACACGAGGACGGTCTTGCATGGGAAGGGTGCCCTGGCCTGGGAATCTGGGACAAGCTCAGCTCTCAGCTCCCTGTGAGGCTTTGGAAAGTCGCTGTTCCTGAGCTCTGACATTCTCTCCTGTGAAAGAGTGACCCCGCAGGGAGGGCGTTGAGGGTGGGGGCCAGAGGCCCTCTCTAACTTCCCTGTGACCTTCAGTAATGAAGAAAAGAAGTAAAAACATCACCCGGGAACTCACTTCTCTCAGATGCTCCCTCTCACAACTGAAAGCCCAGGTTAACACAACAAGCTGGCGCAGGAAGTATCCGAAAGGTGGGAAGAAGGCGGGCTGGAGGGGCCCGGGACCTGGGGGGTTCCGAGCTCCCTCGTTGTCTCCCGCCTATCCCCACAGGGTGCTGCAGAAGGCTCTGACCCCAAACCTCCAATGGGTACAGACTGAAACAGCTCTCAGCCAACAAGCCTGTTCCCACTGGGGAAAGTGTGTCCTAGCACAGGATACCTTTGGGGGACCACCCTTCCACACGTCACCTCTGTGCTTCAGCAGGCAGAGTAGGGAGCGGATCTAACACACCCCTCCACCCCTCCCCTACCTCGTCCTCATCCCATCCCCCCTCCAGGGTCTCCAGCTCCCTGATGGGTGGTATTGGGGATGGAGCAGGGAGCTTCCTTGTCCCCACTCAGCAGAAGTAGGCGACTCTGGGGTTCAGGGGTGAGTTGAGCTCCCCACCCCCCAGCAGTAATGAGACTGAACAAGTGGTGTGAGCCAGGTTTTGCCAACACTTCTTCACCCCCTCATCTGGTGTCTGTGGGGTCCAGTGGGGACCTGAACCTTCAGCCCCACCCAGTATTAGCAAGATGGAAGAAGGTGGTGGGATGTGGGCTCGTTGACACTCTGCCAGCCCCTTCCCAGGGGTCAGTTGGGCCCACCTGAGAGATGAGCATTGACCCCTACTTAGAGGCACTGAGGAGGTGTTAGTCAGTGCCGACCTCGTCAGGAAGGTTCAACGGAGCCAAGCAAGGAGCCGAACCTCCACTACCCCTCTGCAAGGAGGCCGTGTGCACCAGGGCCCACGCTTCTGGGGTGGTGTCCCTCAGCCCGCATGCCGCTCCCCAGCAGGAGGACGCCTACCACAAAAATAGGGGTAAACAGGAGTCTTGAGATATTCGAAGTGTCCGGGGTATAATAAAAAAAAACCAGGAACACTGTAAACTAAATGAGAACAGGCAATCCTCAGATGTGAGTTTTGGAGCAGCCCGAGATGATTCAGACGTTGGAATTATCTGGGCAAGGGCTTTAAAGCCACCATAAAAATGTTTCAGCAAGCAATTACAGTTTCCTCCGAAACAAATGCAAAAATGAAAAACCTCAGCAAAGAGCTCAAAATTATAAAAACAGAAGCAAACAGAAATGATCAAAACTGAAAAAAATACAACAGAGATAAGGAATGGGCTGGAGGGGCTCACGAGTAGAGATGACAGAGGATAGACTCAGTGAATTTCAGGCTAAGTGAGCACACTCAACCCAACCTGAACAACAGGGAAAATAGACTAAAAAAAAAAAAAAAAAGATTAACAAAGTCTCTGGGGCCTGTGGGACAATAGCAAGATTGCTAACTCTCATGTCCTCAGAGACCCAGAAGAAGAGAGAAAGAGAATGGGACTGAAAAAAAGTTAGAAGAAACTATAGCACAAAGCTCCCCAAAGTTGGCAAATGACATAAATCTACAGACTCAAGAGGCTGGATAAATCCTGGAGAGGATAAACCAAAAACATCCACGTCAAGATGCGTAATTAAACTTCTGAATACGAAAGAGTATGAGAAACTCTTGAAAGTAGCCCGAGAGACATGACACATTACCTGCTGGGGATCACCTGTCAAATAACAGGTGCTCTCTGACCTGAGACTACAGAGGCCATGGAGGAGGACCTGGTACAACAACGTCCAAGTGCTGAGAAAATGGTTAGCCATAAATTTTATTTCCAGCCCAAATATCCTCAGGAATGAAGGGGAAATGAAAATATTCTCAGATGACAGAAAACCAGGAAAACCTGTTGCTTAGCAAAGCTATTCTTCTTCTTTTTTTTAATCCTCACCCGAGGATATTTTTCCATCCATCTTCAGATAGAGTGTGAGGGAGAGAGAGAAAAAAACAGTTATGTGAGAGAGAGAGACATCAGCTGGTTGCCTCCCGCATGACCCCGGCCAGGGTGGAGGACCGTATTGCAACCGAGGTACGTGCCCTCGACCAAATCAAACCTGAGACTCTCAGGTCTGTGGGCCGACGATCTAACCACTGAGCCAAACCAGTCAGGGCAGCAAGCCTATTAAAGCTAAAGGAAGTTCTTTAAACAGAAATGAAAGAACAGAACAGGAAAAGGTGTGGGACTTCAAGAAGAACTTGCGATTGGGTAAAAATAGGGGTAACCCTATTAGATGGTTCTTCCCATGAATTTCTTAAATCATCTGATGGTCGAAGGAAAAATCTTAACACCATCTGAGGTTGTGCTCCACATACACAGAGGAAATAAACACTAAAGACAATTTTCTTTTTGGAAGTTGGGAGGGTCAAGGGCCTTAAATAGAAGTCAGGCTCCTACACTTCACTCCAAGTAATAAAATGTCAGTACTGGTGGATTATAATGTTACTCAGGACAATCACTAAAAAAGCATACAAAACCCCATAAATACGTCAATGTAGAATCCTAAAAAAAATGTTTAAGTCACCCACAGGAAGATAAAAGAAATAGGAACAAGAAACAGAGAAAAAAAGAAAAAAAACAAAATAAAATGGCAGACTTAAGACAGAACATATTACTTTAAATGTAAACACTCTAAATACACCAAGTAAAAAGACAGGGATTGGATACCATGAATCTGAAAATGACCCAACTATCCTCTGTCTTCAAATACACTGCATGCTCATTTCAAATATGACATAGGTTGTTTCATCATTTACTCATCTGTTACGTCACTGATGGCCATTAGCTCTGTCTCCAGTATTTTGCCCCTAAACACTGCCATAAGCATATTTGAACATAAAAACAAACAGAAATAGCACCAAAAAAAAAACAAAAAAAAACACGCTCCTGGGAGCAGGCCCCGAGAGAGCCCGAGCAGATGGCAATTTCTGCTTCTGCTGGTCCCCATCCATCCAGGACAAAGGGTCCCTTCTGCTCAGTGCCCAGCCTCACGGAAGCGGAACGAGAGCCCCATCATGCTGAGCACCCACCCAGGGGAAGGCTTGTTGACCCTCAGAACAGGACAGCATTCTTGCCTGTTCCTGCTGCCCTCCTGCCTGACTCTGTCTCAGACCCACCTACAACAGGTGTTTAAAATAAATGCAGACTCCAGGGCCCTCCCAACTCAAGCTCCAGGCATGAGGCCCATACCCCCGCTTTTGGTCCAATCTGCGGATGGACACAGCCGCGACTCACAGCCAGGACTCTCCCTCCCTCCCTCCCAGGGGAGACAGAGCACTGAACCAAGATTCACCACCAGGGTCAGAAATGATTCCGGTGCCGCCGAGAATGAACGACTTGACCAAAGACTGTACTGTTTCGTCTTTTATTGAACACCTTGCCGGTGTCGAGGGGCGAGCTCACCACCCATGGGGGCCACCCCACATGCGGGGCCCTCAGAAGCATCTTCTCTGAACCACGGATGTCCCAAACTCCTTGAAGTCCGAAAAGGTGACCCACATCTGCTTGAAGCTGCTCAGGGAGGTGACGATAGAGGCTCCGATCCATGTGGAGAACCACCTGTCGGGGGGAGCTGTGATCTTGATGGGGGTCCCCTTGGAGGCCAGCTGCTCCAGCTCCTTCAGAAGCCTGTCGTCCAGGCCCTGGAACAGGGTGGTGCCCCCAGACAGCACAATCTCCCCGTAGAGGTTGCTCTGGATGTTGGCGTCACACTTGGTGATGCTGCTGAACACCATCTTGGAGAGGCCCGGGTTTTGGATGCCCAGCTGGGTGGGTGTGAACAGGGCCTCGGGGGCCTGGAACAGCGGGTCCCCGATCTGGATGGTGTTCCCATCCGGCAGCTTGTACTCTCTCAGGACCTCCTCCGGCCTCCGGGACAGCTCCTTCTCGGGCTCCAGGGCCACGTAGCAGAGTTTCTCCTTGATGTCGTCCACCAGGACTTTGTCCAGCGCACAGGGGAAGGCCCACCCGCCAGCCTGCAGCAGCTGCGTGAGGTGCTCCGTGATGTCCCTCCCCGCCACGTAGAGCTTGGTGACCGCGTGGGGCAGCGAGTACCCCTCGAAGATGGGGACAGTGCAGGTGACCCCGTCCCCGCTGTCCACCACCAGGCCAGTGACACAGGCCGAGGAGTAGAGGGCCAGCACGGCCTGGTCCGACAGGTAGAAGGCGGGCACCTGGAACTTCTCGAACATCACCTCCGCCATCTTCTCCCGGGTCTCCCTGGGGTTCAGGGAGGGCTCGGTCATGAGCACCGGCCGCTCGCTGGCTCTCACTCCCAGCTCCCACTCGAACAGGTGCCCCCAGAGCTTCTCCACGTCATCCCACCTGGTGACCAGGCCTCGCTCGATGGGGTAGCGTAGGTGGAAGGCCTCCTGCTTGCGCAGGGCCTGCTCCCCGACGCAGTGCTGCTTCTGGTTGGCTCCCGCCGAGGCCAGCTTGCATGTCGGGTGCCCCACGACGGAGCTGATGACGTGGCGGGGCCCGATCTCTCCGGACAGGCCTGCTTTGCAGAGCCCAGACCCATTGTCGATAATCACAGCTGGAGAATCTAACACGTGTGGGTTAGACATGTCTGCATCCTGCTCCGAGCATCAGCAGAGTAAGCAGAACCCTCTTCGGCCGCTTTGTGACACAGGAGTTTCTTCCGGAAGCTTCAAGGGCACAGGGTTCCAGGGTTCTCGGGGCGTGTCCCGGGCAGGCTAGCAGATGGTGGAGCCCCAGGAGCCCTCCCTCCACCCACAGATCTCCCCCTCAGGGGCCGCTGGCTGAGGCCTTTTCAGGATTGGCAGTTGCATATGTAACAATCCAGCCCAGGCAACCACTGTGCTCAGCCAGCATCAGGAGGCCCCCGGGGCAGGGCTCAGGGCCCCTGGCGTCCCTCCCTGGTGAGACTCCACTCGGAGGAGGAAAGCAGGCCATAGCCGCAGGCAGTTGAACAGCCTGGGGCCCTGAGGTCTAGCCTTAGCCAGCCTGGAACTGTCCGGAGAATGGGTGTCGCCCGGCGAGAGCTGTGGTTTGCGCAGTGACCAACACACATTTCCCTTGCTGGGGGTGGCCAAGCCCCAGGCACAAGTCCAGGCTGGAGGCCAGATACCCACAGCTCCATCACATCGGGAACTTAGACCATTCATTTTGAATCCAGACTCCTCCAGGAAGCCCTCGGGGATTTCTCTTTATCCCGGAAGCCCTGGCTCTGTCCCTCAGCTCAGGAGCTAAGCCCAGCGGGCCTGCTGCCTCTCTTCCGAGCTCCTCCTTGCTCTCTGCAGCCCCGGGAACCCTGACACAGGGCAGCTTCCAGTGGTCTATGGAGTTGGGAACGCTGGGGGGGGGGGGTCATGAGGGCAGCCCCGATTGGCGGCAGTCACAGTCGTCCAGGGCCACTGATGTACATTCAGAAATGTGCATGTCGCCCTGGCCGGTGTGGCTCAGCGGTAAGAGCACCGACCCGTGAACCAGAGAGTCCCGGGTTTGGTTTCCGCTAAGGGCGTGTACCTCAGCTGCAGTTTGTCCCCGGCCCCGGTTGGGGTCGTGTGGGTGGCAGCCACTCGATGTGTCTCTCTCACATCGATGTTTCTCTCTCTCTTCCTCCCTCCCTCCCTCCCTCCCGCTCTGTCTGAAGGTAAATGCAGAAATGTCCTCCGGAGAGGATAAGGAAAGAGAGAGAGAAACGACCATGTCATCAGGGCAGAGGCCAAGAGCAGGGCTGCAGGCCCAGGCCGAGCCCCCAGGGGCCCTGCGGAGGGGCCGCTCCAGCCTCCACGACACCGGTCAGCAGCTCCGGCTGTCAGCTCAGGGGGACACGGGGTGGTCCAGGCTCACCGTTCTGTAAGAAGCCTGGAGGTGGTCTTGGGGAGCACTCTCAAACCACCCTCCAGCCCAGCCCCTTCCCCACCCAGAACCTCTCCCAGAGGTCACCTCTCAGGGTCACGTCCCTTCGGGGTCCCCTCGCCTCCTTCTGCCGGTGGCCGCCATTGCACGTCCTGCCAGCCCACAGAAAACTCAGCCGGTGCCGGCCCTGTGGCACCGGGCGACAGGGCTGTGTGCCCGTGTGCGTGCCCACTGGGGCTGGCCCTGGCGGGGGTCAACACACCTTGGTAGTGTGGAGATTTTCCCCAAGGACACCGCCAGACAGAAGCCACATCCGTTGTATGGATGGTTCATGCTGGGACAGGACCCCAGACACCGGGTTTGCAGAGCCTGGACCATCTCAGCTGCTCCCGGGGCTTCTGAGGGTCGGGGTCCAACCCTGGAGAGAGCGTGGGCTCCTGGCCGGCCGCTGTGAGGATGGGGCTGGTGACCGGACGCGGGGACCGGGATCCCGCCTGCTGACGCCGCACACGCATGGTGCTCGGTTCTCCGGCTCTGCTGGAATTTTCTCATGGTTGCCAGGGCGGAACCTGGAGGCACGTGGTCTCCAGGTCTCTGGATTTGGGCCCTAAAGGCGGCCCTCCCGGGGATCGACGTAACGGTGCTCGGTGAGGGGACTGCCCGTAGGTGTGTCCCCTGGCTGGGGGCTGGCTGGGACACTGGGCATTGGCAGGAGGGACAGAGAGGAAAGGACAAACACTCCCCCGAAGCTCAGGCTGGCCGGTCGGGTGGGAGGTCTTGCTGAGGACACTCGACACCCGCCGCTGAGACGCACGGCGACGGTGGCCCTCTGATGCCGGCCGAGCACTCACAACCCCCACCAGCCTCCAAGTTAGGTCCGGGCACTTGCACCTGTCACCAAACCTGTAACTCGGCCACTCTCCATCCCTCTGTGGCCCCTGGCACCCGCAGACCAGCTCGGACCCTGGAGGACAGAGCCGTGACCGCCAGGCCGGCCATCGGGACAGCAGCTCCAAGCACAGCTGCCTGTGTCCAGGACCCGTTTCACTCCCTGCTGAGCCTGAGCCAGGCACTGTCCTTTGCCCGGCTCTGGGCCCCAGCCCACCCGGCAGAGCGGCCCTGGGCACCAGCGTCTGCTGTCCTCCCCTCTGACCAGCTGGGACCGACCAGCACCGTCGTAGCGGACCTTCTTCCCAGCTCCACGCTCCGGCTCAGGGTCCGCCCGCAGCCAGCTCCCTGTCTTTATTTCTGGGCTGGCTGTCGGACTGGCCCTGGGCCCCTGAAGGCAGAGCGTCAGGAAGGCTCTGAGACCCCACCACCAAGGAGGGGGATACTCTCTGGGGGGTGACACCACGTGGCCACCGAGAAATCGGAGTGGGTTTATGAGCCACAGCCTACGTGCCATTGTGTTGTTTCCAGCTCCTGTGGGGCAGAAACCCCAGCGCTGGCTCTCAGGTGCCTGGGAACCTCCTCCCCGGCCTCTGTGACGTCCACTGCGGACACGCCTCTGTCCCCTGACCACCTGGGTCTCCAGTCTCGGAAGGGCCCCGGGTCAGAGCAGGTGTCCATGTCCTTGCCACCGGAGCGGACGCGATGTTCGACACCCCGAAACCCACCGTAGCTGAGCACTGGCCGGGGACACCGGGTCGCTGTCCCGTCGCCCGGCTCCAGCTGAAGCCAGCCTGTCCGCGGCTGCCCCGCCCCCACCCCGGGCCAGCCAGGCCTCGTAAATCGTAAATCGCTTGAGCAAGTTTATGGGCAAACTGGCTGTTACTCCATCTCCCTCCGCAGGGCAGGGCTCACCACCGCGGTTATTCTGGAGGGCACTGGTTTCGCCCCACACGGGAAGCCCGGCTCTGACTCCCGCTCCTCAGTCACGCCTGCAGCAGCCCACACGGCCCCACCTCCCCTGTCCTTGGACCAACTCCAGCCCCTGACGGAGGTGGACAGTCCCTGCAAAACCTCGGGAAGCTGCCAGGTATTCACACTAGGGAGTGGGCACCCCGGCTTCCCACTGCCCGGGGGGAGTGTGACGGAGCCACCCAAGCCTGGGCTGGGAGCCGTCCTGCCCCATCATCTCTGGTTCCATGTGTCACTGGCGCCCAGACCCTCAGCCAATTAGTGACCAGCAGACTGGGCTCATTAGTGCTGGCTGACATCTGGCGGCCAGATCCCCCTTGACGAGGGTCTGGCCCAGTGTCCGCCCGCAGCCCGAAGGAACGGGCGGCTGCAGATGGCAAGATGGGCACTGCTCTTGCAAGAGGGACAGCCGAGTGCATGTGGAAGGGCACATGCCAGCCGGGCACGGTGCTCGCAGCGTCTCCTGCCTCTCTGCCCATCGTTGCCAGAGAGGCCCAAAGCCCCCAGCATTCTTCCTGGTCGCCAGCCCTTCACATCTCTAGGACGGAACTTTCATCACCTGACCCACCCATCCATTCTTCCACCCGCCATCTGTCTATCATGCATCATCTATTCTCCCGCCCACCCACCCATCCATCCATCCATCCACCCATCTATCCATCCATCCATCCATCCATCCATCCATCATCTATCAATCACCCACCCTACCCACCTACCTATTCATCCATCCATCCATCCGTCCATCCATCCATCATCTATCCACCCGCCCACCCACCCACCCATCCATCCATCCACCCATCTATCCATCCATCCATCCATCCATCCATCCATCCATCCATCATCTATCAATCACCCACCCTACCCACCCACCTATTCATCCATCCATCCATCTATCCATCCATCCATCCATCCATCCATCATCTATCAATCACCCACCCTACCCACCCACCTATTCATCCATCCATCCATCCACCCATCCATCCATCCATCCATCATCTATCAATCACCCACCCTACCCACCCACCTATTCATCCATCCATCCATCCATCCATCCATCCATCCATCCATCATCTATCAATCACCCACCCTACACACCCACCTATTCATCCATCCATCCATCTATCCATCCATCCATCCATCCATCCATCCATCCATCATCTATCAATCACCCACCCTACCCACCCACCTATTCATCCATCCATCCATCATCTATCAATCACCCACCCTACCCACCCACCTATTCATCCATCCATCCATCCATCTATCCATCCATCCATCCATCCATCCATCCATCCATCCATCATCTATCAATCACCACCCTACCCACCCACCTATTCATCCATCCATCCATCATCTATCAATCACCCACCCTACACACCCACCTATTCATCCATCCATCCATCTATCCATCCATCCATCCATCCATCCATCCATCATCTATCAATCACCCACCCTACCCACCCACCTATTCATCCATCCATCCATCATCTATCAATCACCCACCCTACACACCCACCCATCCATCCATCCACCCATCTATCCATCCATCCATCCATCCATCATCCCTACACACACCTACCCACCCATACTCACCTACTACCCATCCACCCACTCATTCACTCATTGTTTCATCCAACCATCCATCCATCCATCCATCCATTCATCTTCCACCTACTATTCACCCACCTATTCATCCATCCATCCATCATCCCTCCACTCGCCTGTCCACCCATCTGCCCACTCATTGGCTCATCCTTCCATCCATCCATCCAGTCACCATCCACTTATCAACCCACCCGTCTGATTATCCCCCGCTGTTCAGTTACCTCCTCTTTCTCCCCCACCCCTTCCTCTCCTCCACCTTTCCTCTCTCAGTGGCCGA